CTGTTATAATTATCAGTAGAGTATAATATGGAGTTGGACAAATGTTTTGAATGGATTTCATGGTTATTTCTGCCCAAAACTCCACGATAATTCAAGATTTTCATGCAAGTTAGGGCTTGGGGTAATCATGGCTACTGAGGTATGCTTGGAAAAACAAATACTCCATGATTTATTATAAAGTACTTATTGCCAAGAGTTTGAGGTTGATATTTTGGCCCATTGATTTGATGCTTAGTAATAAAAATAAAATGAGAGGTTACAGCAAGGAGTAGAGAGTTTTTTTAACCTTTATCAAAGTTCCTTTTATTCACTTCTGAGGTTCTAAAGAGGCAGAACTGAATTATAAGGCTTATTAAAGCCAGAACAAATCCTATAAACATCTTTACGAGACTTATTTTTTCTTAAAACATGACAAGTGTATGTAAGATTAACATATGTTATTATCTATGGTACTTTGGAATCTAAAATTAAAACACTCATTTCCATACACAAATAAGTCTTCTCTACTTCTTGAAGTGTCATGGCTTGAAGAAGAGAGGGTACATGGAAAACTCAAATCAAATCATGATATTCAGATTCAACTGAGAATATAGTTTGCAGAAGTTCACATCAGGGGAGATATTTTTCAAAAATTCAACCAAAGGGGAGGCTCTGGGAAATATATTTTCTAATTTATGTCTTCAAAGCGAACATAAGCATTGAATACGGTTTGAAAACAAGCCAAGTTTTCACAAATGAATTTAGCTAACCACTTCTACGTTTTTCCCTGTAGAAGTAGAAGCTAGAGATACAGAGATACAATGGCCTTGAACTTCCTGCATAGAAGGCTAACAATACCAGTTGAAAGTATAATGACTAGTTTGGCTCTCTAAAGGTTATCACTTTTATGGAGGAAGAGATGATTCTCTGTATTGATGTGTTTAATTCACTTACTCACTATTTATTGGCAAAGAATCCGAGTGCCTACTCTTTGCTGGGCAGTGACCCAAGCAGAATGGTCGGTGTCCTCAGGGAATCACAGGCTATTGAACCAGCATGATTTCAGCATCATGTGATCAGATGCTCTCAGAGGAAGTAGCAGGCAGGTGCAATGCACAAGTCCTGGGGCGCCAACCACAGCTGAGAGTCTGGGAAGTCCCAAGGGAGGAAGTGGCTTTTCAGCTGATGCAGAGCATGAGTAAGCCTTAATCAGATAACAGCAAGAAGTGGAGAGAAGAGAATTTGTGGGCTGACGGTTGGAATCGAGAGAAATTGAGAAATTACAGAGATATTTGGAAAGAACTTCACTGGACCTGTTTGCTCATATTTCCAAGGGCTGAAACTGTGCTTGGGTCAAGGAAGTGACACAATAAGTATTTATTGAATAAATGAATGGAGAAAAGTATGTATGATTGGGAACAGTTCAAGAATAACTATTGAAGACACCAGGTTGGATGATAGTTGTATTTAACGCTATTCTGCTCTATTCCGCCTTTCCTTCACTTGCCATTTTCTTAATTTATGATGAAGAAGAAAGGAAAGATCTGTGAATACTCACACACTACTAATTCTCGTCCTTGTTATAAGAGTAATCTGAAAGCAGGGATCAGCTTAATCCCCTCCTCTCCGTCTCCACTGGTCTGCCTGGGTTTAGGTGCCCATCATGTCTTGGCTAAATTAATGCAATTGCCTCTTAGCGCAGCTTTCTCCATGGTGCTGCCAGATTTATCCTTGTAAATGTAGATTTGCTCGTGTCACTCCCGAAATTAACACCCTTTGATAGCTTTTTCCATCCCTTGAGACTAAAAATCCAAACTTTTATGTGACATTCAAGGTCTTTTCAGCTTTGGTTGCTATACAAAATCTCATTGGCAGCATTTTCCCCCCGGACCTTAAGATTACCCTAATATAACACGTCCCCACCTTAACTTGGTTCTAGACTACCGATTCAAGAATAAAGTTCAAGACTGACCACATGCCAAGGGAGACGATGAGTCTTGAGGAGACAGGCAGGTTATACTCAGTTATGCTGTTCTGTCTGCTTGAGCTTCTCCTTTTGGCTAAATCCTGTGTAAAGACCTAATTCAGATGTGGTTTCATTGAGGAAGGCTTCTATTATCAGCCAGGCTTTTTCAAGGTTGACCTCAAGGCCTCTCCTCTGGCTGTCACAGGGCTCCGTGCATCCCCGTATCAGAGCACCTCCTGATCACACTCTAGGGTTGTCATCTGTGAGGTGATCTCTTCTTCCGGTCTGTGAGCGGCTTGAAGGGACAGACCATGAATTATTTGCAGCAAGTGGAAAGTAAGTAGAGATAATGGAAGGGAGGGAAAGATACGAGCCATGACAAATTGCTTGATATTTTCAAAATCTTTCCTCTCTAAAACTCTTTTGGCTCAGGTGTTTTCAAACGATCACTAGAGAGAAAAGCCGCAATGTCACCATGAGACGCCAAGTGTCCCATAACTATTTTTACTGTTGAAACAAACTGGAGGCTTCTAATAGCTACCTGCCATATCTATAGATAATTTGGGTGCCTGAGATAACACAGTGGAAGCCTCTAAACTAACTTTTTATTTAACAAATTCCGAAAGCTCTAGTTCTTTAACTTTGTAAAACATTTTCATTAACAGCCAGGGCGTTCTCAATACCCACGGCCAACAGACATGCTCAAGCATTAACACTGAATCCTAATTGCATGCTTATGAGAATCAGTTATGCTTGCTCTCAAAACTGCTAGTGTCAACTACGCTAGTTGCTGTAATTATGTTATCAAATACTCTAGAAACCAAAGAAATATGAGTTTGAAAAATTAATGAGAATTTCTCTGAAAAACTCTGTTGAAAATTTATGTCAATGACTTGGAAGATACTCAATAAAAGGAGGTTTACTGGGGGAAAAAATGGTCTGGTTGAGTGTGGTGAGATTTGGGTAAATCTGTTCAATCTAAAAGGAATCTAAACTATGTTTGTTTGTTTATTTTTCCAAACCGTCTTTAAATTCTGGCTTATCTTTAAAGAAACTGAAACTAAATTAAAAAGTGAAAACTAATGGATATGTTTTATGCATAAAGATTATACGGAAGCCTAATTAGGAAAAATACACACAGATAAAAGACTATTTCAAAATTTGGTAAATAATGCATATTTGCGACGTTAAATTTTAAAAGCATTTTATACGTGCTTGTG